TGGATTCCATCACAACGTCCTCGGGATTCTGTTCTGCTGTCCTCGCCATGGTGGCAAGATGGACCATCATTCCCTCCAGATGCCCCCATACTCCCAGGGATTATTGGCTCAGCCAGAGAGTCACATGCCCATCCCCAAACCAATTCCCGCATCTGTGGTGACACAAGGCCTCATTGGCCGGATTTGATCACATGTCCACCTCTGGACGTGGCTCCTTTTTCTCCCTGAAGGCAGGCAGGAGGAGTAGATGCCCTCAGACTCCGAGGTTCCTGCCTGCCTCATCCTGGCTGGTGGGCCTTGGGCAAGTCTCCTGTTCTCCGTGCCTCAGTTTCCCCGCCTGTGAATCAAGCTCATCAGGGCTGAGGTGTTGGAGCACAGAGGGGTCCTCCCCTCCCCCACCTGCTGTCGGGGGCAGGGCCCTGTGTACCCTTGGCCCCCATCCCTCATTGTTCTCCTCTGGGAGCCTCCCACACAGCTGCCCGGGGTGGCAGGCACCAATGCCACCTGCTGAGTCACCCGTGCTCCGGGCCCCCTGCCCAGCCGAGGCTTTCTGGGGATTTCCTGGCCTCCGTGAACGTCAAGAACAAAGCAGAGACTCCAGGACGGGGAGAGCGAGGGCAGAGGCCGCGGACAGTCTGCGTGCACCCTGGCCCAGACTCAGCCCCACGTCCGTGCCCACCCGTCACGGGGCCACGGCCACAGCCACCGGAACGGGGACTCTGCGTGCGGACCCCCCTCAAGCCCTCACGGGGCTGTGGGCGCCAGCGCGGGGGTGAGAGTGGTCATTACTGTTGTGCCGTGTGGACAGATGTCAGCATTCTTGGTGTCTATTCGCTGGCCCGTGTCCAGGTGTCTACGTGTGTACATGCACGCGTGCATGTGTGTGTGTGTGTGTGTACATGCGCACGCGTGTACATTAGGGCTGTCCTGTGTGCCGAGCCCTGGGGCCTAAGCGACAGAGACCCAGCCCCTTGCTGGGAAAGGTGCATCTCGTGGAAGATTCGCTGGGCAAAGGCCAGGGGCGTGGAGACCGGAGGGTGCAGGGAACAGCACAGGGGTTCAGGGAACAGTACAGGGGTACAGGGAGCAGTGGGGCGGCTGCAGGGAGCAGCGGGGGGCTGCAGGGAGCAGCGGGGGGCTGCAGGGAGCAGCAGGGGGCTGCAGGGAGCAGCGGGGAACTGCAGGGAGCAGCAGAGGGCTGCAGGGAGCAGCAGGGGTGCATGGCCAGGCGGGCGGAGGGGGGTGGGGAGCGGAGTGAGTGAGCCTGGGCAGCCTCAGCAGAGCAGAGCGCTGGGAGGAAGTGACATCAATTCTGAACTATTCACTGAACACCCTACTCCATGCGCCTGGAGCTGGGACACAGCAGGGCTCCGGGGCAACAGAAACCACAACAAACAGCAGAGCTGTAACTCCGGGAGGGGCAAGGTCAGGAAGCACAGCTCCAGGTTAGGGCAGGGGACTCCGGGCGCCCTGGCCTGAGACGGGGAGCGTGTCCTGAGGAGGCGGTGTGTGACCGGAGGCCTGCAGGCGGGAAGGCCCCGGGCAGAGACCAGGGGAGAGGAAGCTCCAGGTCAGAGGCACGACAGGTGCAAAGGCCCTGGGGCGGGGCCGGGCTGGCCGAGGGGCCGATCCAGGAAGATCTAAGCCCACTGCGGGAAGGGGAAGGGAGGTGTCGGGGGCATCCCTGGTGGGGAGCGGGGCCACTGGGACAGGCTGTCCTGTAACTGGAGCCCAGCAGGAAACTGTCCCCCGTCTGCCCTCAGCACAGCCTGCTCAGGACAGAATGTGCCGGGAGGCCAGGCCAGCGGTGGCTGCGTCTGGTGGCTGGAGCGGGTGGCGGGAGATTCCTGAACAGCAGCCCTGCCAGGCCCCCTGCCAGCGAGGGCGGGGAGGGTGCGCGGAAAACAAGCTGTGGAAGCTCTGCCTGCCTCCCGCCCTGGGCCCTGGGCCCTGCCCGGCCATGGCTGGGGATAGAGATGGCGCAAGGGTCAGAGACTGACAGAGACAGAGAGATGGTGACCGTGAAAGAGATGGCGAGCTGGAGACAGAGACAGAGGGATAGCGAGAGAGACAGAGATGGTGAAGGACAGGGGTAGAGGGACACAGACAAGAGAGACAGAGAGATGACGACCAAGAGAGATGGTGAGCAAGAGCCAGAGCCAGATACAGGGGGAGATAGCGAGACAGTAGTGAGAGCCAGAGGCAGACTGTGGATGGGTGTCAGGTCTGATGTGGGGGTCCTGGGAACCAGTGCAGGGCAGTGACATCCCCACCTCCACCTTTGTTTACCCCAGAGCAGGGAAGGAGTTCCTGCCGGTCTCTCAGTCAGCAGTGCCTGGGTGTCCTGGAGTCAGGGACACCGACTGCACCCAGCCCCGGCCTCCAAGGTCCAGACAAATAGGAATTTCAGAGCGCGATGGGGGCTATGAAGACAAGGAGAGGGAATGGGGGGGGGGGGGGCTGTGCGGTGACCTCAGCCCAGAGGGCGGCATGCCCGGAAAGTGAGGCTGGGAATAGAGAGGAGCCAGCCGCAGGGAAGCGTCTGCAGCAGAAGCCACCTGTGCAAAGGCCCTGGGGTGGGGACCAGCTCCGGGCGGGATAACAGCCAGGGATGGACAGGAGCTGGGAGGAGGGATGGGTGGGGGTCCTAGAAGCCTGGGGAGGGTGGGGTTTTATTTTAGGAGATTTGGCCACTCTCCTCTGTGCCTGAGGGCCACTCCCTGTGTTCAGGGAGTTCCTGGGACTCTGGACTGGCGAGCCAGCTGCATCCTGCTTCTCAGTGAAGCAGAAAATCCACCTCCTCTGAGATCAGGTTCCCCAGAGCTGCAGAGGCAGGACTCTGGGGGACCCGGGGCGGCTTGTCCTCCCAAGCCTGCGGGAGAGCCTTTTTTAGAACGGCACCCACATCCGCTGTTGCAACCAACATCTGGGAACCGGGATCTCGCGTCACGCACTGCGGGGCCGCTGGGACTCGTCCGCAGAGGCTGGCACTGCGGGGCCTGGGTGGCCCTGCTGTGGAACGATCCGCCCCAGTCCCCATCTCAGGAACGTTCAGGTCTGGCACACTCTGAGCTGGGTGCCTGGTCCGCTGCCCCGAGCAGATGCTGCAGGACGGGGAGCGCCGGGGGGACCCCAGGAGCAGGAGCAGCTGGAAATCACGGCCCCAACTCAGATCGAGGGAGGAGACGATGGAGGCTGGGGAAGGGAGGTGTTCCGGGGTCTCAGATGGAGAAACTGAGGCTCAGAAGCAAGTGCCCTGACCATGGTCCACAGCAAAGGTTCACCCACATCTCCCACTGTTGTCCCTAGGTTTCTACCCCCCATCCCCCCACCCTCACCCCGAGAACCCATCCCGGCCCCCCAGCCCCGCCCATGGCCATCCTGAGTGGCCAGTTAATTGTCATGGCCTCGGGCCCTCAGGCTGGCGGGTGGACAGTCTAGGGTCAGACCCCGACCAGGGCTTTCACTGGGCCTTGCCCCAAGGGGCGGGACTTCAGAACCTGAGGCAGAGCCTGAGCTGCTGGCTCTGCGGGAGCCGCAAGTGGGGTGCGGCCTCCTGGGCTCCAGGGGCCGTTTTGAGCGGCAGTTCCATCCGTCCCCACAGTGGGGCCCTGGGCAAGTCACCTCCCTCCCTGGACTCACTGTAGCCCCAGGAGGACACCTCCCACCGCTGGGCTGCCTGTTAGCCCTGAGCGTCCAGACAAAGCCTGTGCACACTGGTCCACAGGAGCCCCAGGCCAGCGGTTGGCAAACTGCGGCTCACGCACCACATGCAGCTTGCGAGCCGCGATTTGCCGCTCTGTTGACTGATGAGTTTGCCGACCACTGCCCTCGTCACAAGCGCCAAAATGTGGAGATGACTCAGATGTCCATCACCTGGTGAATGGACAGTGGAGGACTGCTCGGCCACAAAAAGGGGTGCAGCCATGACACACCACAATGTGGGTGAAGCTCAAACACATGCTGAGTGAGCGGTCACAGTGTGTGGTCCCACTGGTATAAAATGTCCAGGGCAGGCAGATGTATAGCGACAGAAAGCGGGTCAGTGGCTGCCAGCGGGTGGGAGAGGGGATGGGGAGTGACTGCTAAGGGGGGCGGGGCCTCAATGTGGGGTGGTGAAATGCGCTGGCACAGACAGAGGTGACGGCTGCACAATACTGTGAATGTGCTAAACGCTACGGAACTGTTTACTTTAAAATGGTTCCTTTTATGTCCTCGTTGGTTTGGCTCAGTGGCGTGAAGAGTCCCACATTCGATTCCAGCCAAGAGCACAGGCCCGGGTTGCGGGCTTGATCCCCAGTTGGGGGCGTGCAGGAGGCAGCCGATCCATGATTCTCTCTCATCATTGATGTTTCTCTCTCGCCTTCTCCCATCCTCTCTGAAATCAATAAAAAACATATTTAAAATGGTTCCTTTTATGATATGGGAATGGTCTGTCAAAAAAAGAAAGAGCCGAAATTGGTTTGGCTCAGTGCATTGAGCATCGGCCTGCGAACTGAAAGGTCCCAGGTTCGATTCCGGGCAAGGGCATGTACCTTGGTTGCGGGCATATCCCCAGTGGGGGGTGTGCAAGAGGCAGCTGATCGATGTTTCTCTGTCATCGATGTTTCTAACTCTCTATCTCTCACTTCCTCTCTGTAAAAAAAAAAAAAGAAAGAAAGAAAAGAAAGAAAAAAGCCCAGACTCGGATAGTCAGGGCCTCCGGCAACCCGGAACCCTCTCCAGCCCACCTGTTCCTCTCCATTTGCGGAGAACAGAAGCTTCCTGTCCTTCACCGTTCACGTGACCAGCACCTGTGACTGCACCAGGGGGGAGGTGAGGGCTGTGGGGGTCTGGCTCCAACCCGAGCCCAGCCTCCCTGTGTGTCCCTGGGCCTCAGTTTCCCCTTCTGGACGATGGGCCACTCAACCCTCTTTGGCCTGGAATCTCATCAGGACGGTCGTCAAGGCTACCCCAGCTCCCTCAGCAGCTGGGGGAAGAGAAACCGATAAGCCTAGTCTCTTCCTCCACACTTTTATTTAAAAAAAAAAAAAAATTGTACAAAAGAGAACAAGTTAAGGCTTAGGAATGCTGAGACCCAGGCGGGGACTCTGCCCCAGCCAAGGCCAGGCCTATCCAGCCACTCCCTCCTGCTTTGTCCCTCTGAACACGGGGTCTCCAGAAGCACACTGGCCCGCTGTGTCACCCCAGCCTGCCCTCTGTCCCAGGGCCTGGTGAATGCTCTGCTGTCATTATCGTGAAATTCTTAATATTCCCTGGAGAAGGCCCCCACATTTTCATGAGCAAGTTATGTGGCAGGTCCTGTCTGTCCCGCTGGGAGCCTGGGTCTCCCGGCCACCCAGCTCTGTGTCTGAGAAGCCCTCGGGTGGTCTTAGCCTGGGGCACAATCTCCAGCTTTCAGAGGCTTCAAAGGCTGGAGCCCTGCCCCTGAGAACCACAGGTCCCCGTAGCTCCCAGGACCTGCTTCCCTGAGTGACTCACCCCTGGGCCCTCGCGCCTGCTGGACCTTGCAGTGTGACCTCAGCGGAAGCACCTGCCCTCCGAGTCCCGGTTCCAAGCTTCCCTGAGCTCTCTCCTTGTCTGACTTCTCCCCTCTCTTGCTTGCCTGTCTCCTGAGCTTATTCACAATGCCAAAGCTTCGGCTAAAACGCCCTTTCCTCCAGGAAGCCTTCCCGGATTTCTCCCCGGACTCTCTCAGGCCTTCCTCTGGTCCCACCGGACTGGAAGTGTCTGTGCCCGGCTGTGTCTCTCCCAGACGGGAGGCTCCTGGGGAACCCGGCCCGGTCCACAGGCCAGCACAGACAGCTCGCACAGTCACTCGGATCCTGCAACAGCCGTTGGATGCTTTTACAAGGACCAGCTCAGTCAGATGCCAGAGACTGGCTCTTCCTCTGTCCCATGGGAACAGCCTTGCCTCCGTTCTGAGACTTGATTTCCCCAACTTCCACCGCAGGCAGGCATGTCTCTCAGCCCAGCCACGCCCCATGTCCACGGAGGCTGGAAGCGCATGTGCAAACTCATCCCTGAGGTATCCGCGTCCTCACACTCAGCAGGTCATGCTGCGTGGCCTCATGGCTTCGGAGGCGGGGTTCGGGTCCTCCTGAGGGAGACAAACCATCAGGCCTCAGGGGGGCGCCAGAGGCCCAGAAACACCCCTCCCTGCTGGCTCAGGCCCTGCATGTGTGCACATAAAGGAGTTTCATCAACACTTAAAGCTCCTGTGTCTCCCACCTCCCTGCCGGCTCCCAGGGCCCGGAGAGGCACGGGGGCTGCTGGGACCCCCAGGCTCACCTCGGAGTACAGGGGGGGCGGGCGGTAGCGGAACTCCTGGATGTAGGCGAAGAAGGGGCCCTCGAGGCTCAGGTCGGCGTCCTGAGGCAGAGGGACGGGGCTCTGCCCCCCGGCTGCCGCGTCACCGGCCACCACCTCCGAATAGTCTGGCGGAGCTGGAATGAGAGCCAGGGGGTGGGGGTGAGGGTGAGGGGGGTGGTAGGCGGGAGCCCTGGCATTGGGGACCAGCGGCCAGGAGTTCTGGGCTGCTGGGCTGCGTGTCCTCAGCCTGAGATCTCGGGGGACGCATGGTGGTCAGTGTGATCATTACCGGGTGCTACTACAGACATTGTGTGTGTGGGGGGGAGTGTTGGCCTGGCACCTCCCCCCTCCCCTGGGGACACAGGACGGGCACTCACCTTCAGGCCGCTCCGGCATGGCGCCCAGTCCCCAGTCCAGCAGGAAGCTGGCATGGCTGCCCACGCTGGACGAGCGGCCGCCGAAAGGGTGCAGGGGGACTGTGCCGATGACCAGCGGCAGCTCCAGGAGCAGCTTGGAGGTGCCCGGGATGTCCACGCAGACCTGGAGGGAGGAGCCACCATGGAGGGTGCCCGGGCAGCCTCCTCACACCCGCCTTCTCCAGAAGGAGGCCCTTCCTGTCCTCAGGGGCCCCAGCGCAGCCTTGGGGAACCCTCCCTGGGGACAGAGCTGATGCATTACCCCCCCCCACCCGCCCCGGAACCCCCAGCCTCGCCCAGCCTCCTACGATACTCCACCTTGAGGGCGTAGTCCACGTGCAGCACCCGGCAGTGCAGGATGGAAGGGCCCACCGGGGGGATGCGGAGCGCCCGGCCCTGCCACAGCGCCCGCCGCCCCGGGCCCACGGGCTCGCCCGAGAGGCTGGCCACCACGGCGTGCTTCTGCTTGCGGGCGCCGCGCGCCATGAAGGTCTGCGTCTGGACCACCACCGCCCGGGGCAGCACGGGGCGCGTGGAGCTGTTGTCGATCTCGGCGAACACCGGGATCACCTCCCCTGTAACGGACGGACGGACGGACGCGGCGGGCCTCAGTCTCCCCCGCAGCCCCGGCCCCGGCCCTCCTCCCGCCCGGGCCCTCCCCCGTACCTGGGGTGTAGCCCTTGCGGTCGATCTTGGCCGAGAGGGAGACGAGGCCGCGGTTACTGTACCAGGACCGGGCGACCTTCTCCCGGGCTCCGGCTTGAGGGGCCTTCCGGGTGGAGGGAAAAGGCACAGACGGGTCACTGTGGGGGCTTCCAGACCGTCCCCGGCTGGGGGGAGACCTGAGTTCGGGGCCCAGTGTCCCGGTCTCTTTTTCACGGCCTGGGAAATATCTGTATGATGGATCTAGGAATATGACCCATCTCATTAAGCTCAAATTGGAGTGAGCAAGCAGGTATGTAATTAGTGCTTAGCAGGCCATCATTATTCTGTGCCCCGGCGGTGCCCTACTAACAGCCGGGCATCGGCGGCTCAGAGAGGGTGAGACGATTGCTCGGAGCCACAAAGCAGATTGGTGCGGCTGGGGTTTGCACCAGGCCTCGCTGACTCAACAACAGCCCTTCCCTCACCTGCCTCCCTCCCAGCCAAGGCCCAGCGCTGACCCCGCTTTGTGACCATTTGTGAAGGGGGCGAGGAGCCAGTGGGGGTCCCCCCTCCCCCGCAGCCAGGCCCCTGGGCTACCATCCCACCTCCCCGAGGGCAGCCAGCCACACACCAGCAGGGTGGGGGTGTTGATGTCCACGGGTTCGATAACAGTAAACACCTTCCTGGCCCGGCGGGCGGGCGCCCAGGGCCGGTGCAGGGTGGCCTTGATGCAGTAACGGACACTGCCGTGTTTGCCCTCAAATGAGGTCACCAGCGTCCTGAAGTGGAAGGAAGGGGCTTCAGGGGGATGGAGGGCACACAGAGACCAGCAGGTTGGGGATTCCCAAGGACACAGAGACACTCCTGAGGGCCTCCCGGTGGAGACAGTCTTGGGGCTCGTAGGTCCCCAGATAGGAAGCAGTGGAGCCCCAAGCCTAGGGGGGAGGGGCACTCCCCCACAATCCAGCACCCAGATGACTTACGGAGGCAGCTGGAAGCTGAATGGGAACTCGTGGCGCCCGGCAGGCAGCGTGGTGGTCTCTCCAGTATCTGCAGGTAGGAGCGAGAGGGGGCGGCTCTGTGGCCGAGGGGTCCGCGGGGCGCGCAGCACCTGCGCCACGCGGGGGTCCCTCGCGGTACCTGGCCCGAGGAGCGTGGCGCGGTGGCTCAGGACCTCCAGGCGCTCGCTGTAGCTCTGCGTGTACGCGGTGCTGGAGCCCGAGCTGCGCGACTCGCTCCAGTGCACGTGGGCGCGGCCCCGCGCGCGCAGCCTCAGGGCGCCCACGCGCGCCGGGCCGGCCAGCTCCAGCAGCACCCGGCCGGCCACCGCCTGGCCGCCGCGGAACACGGGGTCGGCGCCCGCGCCCGCGCCGTCCAGCAGCACCGCGAAGGCCTTCACCTTGTCGAACAGCATCACGCCAGGAAGGCAAACCCCTAGGCGCGCGGACCCGAGCCTCGAACCCCTGACACGAAGGCGCGCGGTGAGGTGCGGAGGCCTCGGCGTCAGGACGCGAACCCACCCGGGGAGCTAAACCAGAGGTTCTTCCCGGCCGCCGCTGGCGCCGCTCTTATACGGAGGGGCGGGGCCGGGCGGGAAACAGCCCCGCCCCGGAATGGGGATTAGCCAATGGCGAGGCGGGGGCGTGGCTTCAATGGCGCAGCGAGGGGGGTGGCTCCGCCCAGGCGTGGAGCAAAATATAACAAACTCCCAGGCTCCCGATGGGCTAGCCCTCCACCCGCGTGCACCCTGGTGGAACGGAAGCCCTGGAGACCAGATTCGGTCTCTCGCGGGTCCCGGGGGTAAAAAAAAAAAAAAGGGAAACTGAGGCCCGGAAGCGGGGCCTGGGCCTGAGGTCACTCAGAAAGACCCTTCATTCGGTGCTTTGGCTTAATCATCAACCCGCCACTGATTGTTTGTAGACAGGACCCGGACACGTCCGGCCCGAGCTGGAGGGGTGTGGACTGGCCCGGCCCGATCGGGACGCTGGAAGCCTAGGTCAGCCGGGCCTCAGTTTCCTCCTCTGTGCAATGGGGAAGGAGGAAGAAGTCGGTGGGGGCCCCCCTTTCCCACGGGTACCTGCTGCCCCCTCCTCTGACCCAAACCCCGTTCAGCTGGGTAACCCCGGACTGGGGACAACCTCTAGGAGCTGCGTTCCCACGTGCAGCGTCGGGAGGAAAGAAGCCCCATCTCGGAGGTTGTGCATGAACCTCAGTGTTGCACCCACTGAACCCTCCCCACAGCCTTGTTCCCGGGTCACCAAGGCGCCGCGGCTCGCCACTCGATTTCACCAAAGCACTTAAGAACCCGACATTTCTTTTCCAAATTCCAGCCCCAGACAAATGCCTTCTGGACTTTTAGGCCTAGCCCCCGTGCCCGCTTTGGGCACCTCCAGCCTGGTCCCCTCACAGACAGAGCCCAGTGCAGGGGGAGCTCCAGGCAACCCGGGGCCAGGGCCGCGCTGTGACCTCGGGGCGGGGATGATTCCTCTCTGGGCCTCGGTTTCGCGAGAGAAGAATCACACGTAGGAGTTTTTAAGCCACAAGTGGCCGCCTCGTGATCTACGGGGGACCTGCGCCCTCTCCTGGCAGCGCGATGCACTGCCGCCCGAAGCCATGCCCACCTCGGCCACCTCTTTGAGTCTGCCTCAGGCCACGCAGGCACCTTCGCACCCTCCCCCCAAGACCTCCGCACCCTCCCCCCAAGACCTCCGCACCCCCCAGTGGGAGACAGCCATAACCAGACAGGGTCAGCCCGCGACGGTGCTCAGAGCAGGCCCAAAGGGGCGGGAAGGGGAGAGACACAGAGGCTGTCCCCTCAGGGATCAGTCTGGGGTCTGCTCACAGGAGGAGCTCTGGGGCTGGAACCTTCTGTCTCTGCCCAGGGGAGCCCAGAGAGGACCGGAGACCATAAGCCAGGAAGAGGTGGAGGAAGAGGTGACTCTGGCAGGACCGGAAGGCTCGTGGTGAGCGAGTACTTCCCTCGTCCATGTTATAGACGGACATTCACCCACCGCCCCCGGGACGGCAGGTCAGACGGCAGAGGAGAAAAGTCACCTCTCCAGGGTCGAAGAAGCCACCGGGGAGTGGGACCAGGGGGGACTGCTGGGTGAGAACAGCCCCAGTTTTGCTTGAGCTGCAGGAGAAGGGAAGTTCCTCTGGGGCCCTTCCTGCCACACCCCATGCCAACAGCCTGGGTTTCCTCAGCTGGCCAGGCCCGAGTCCCCCAAACCTGGGGCTGTTGACAAGGCCGCAGAGCCCGGTCTGAGCTGCCTCCTGCCGTGCATGTGTTACAGGTGGGCATAAGGGGGGGATGGAAGGATCACCAAAGAGGCCCCGGCCCTCCGAAGCCCTCTCCGCGGCTCCTGTTCTGCTCCTGACCGGCCATTTGGCCAGAGAGTGGGGGACTGAGATTTGCCAGGATAAGACTCCCCGCCTAATCTGACCTCACCCCAAGTCTCCTTCCCCTCCCCTGCAGGGGCCACCAGAACACCAATCCAGGGAAGAATCGCCCCAGCAAACACTGTGGGCCAGACTGCGGGAGGGGCACTGGCTGAGCGACACAGGCCTTCGCTGGGAATCGGGGATCCCAGGCTTGGGGCTAACAGGGATTCTGGGGTCCAGAGAGAAGGATCTCCTTGCTCCACCCAGGTAATCCCCCCAGACCAGTGGTCTGCAAACCACGGCTCATGAGCCACATGTGGCTCTCTGGCCCCTTGAGTGTGGCTCGTCCACAAAATACCACGGGTTGGGCGAGTCTATTTTGAAGAAGTGGCGTTAGAAGACGTTTACATTTAAAAAGTTTGGCTCTCAAAAGAAATTTCAATCGTTGTAGTGTTAATATTTGGCTCTGTTGACTGATGAGTTTGCCGACCACTGCCCCAGACAGAAGGTCCCCACCACACACTCCACACAGCCTCGTCTAAATGGAGGGAGTTGCCCTAGCCAGTTTGGCTCAGTGGATAGAGCGTTGGGCTGTGGACTGAAAGATCCCGGGTTCAATTCAGGCCAAGGGCACATGCCTGGGTTGTGGCCTCGATCCCCAGTAGGGGGCGTGCAGAAGACAGCGGGTCAATGATTCTCTCCCATCGTTGAGGTTTCTATCTCTCTCTCTCCCTCTCCCTTCCTCTCTGAAATCAACAAAGAAATATATATTTTTAAAATAAAAAATAAAATAAATAAATCGAGGGCGCCCGCGCTCTGGAAGGTGGGTGCCCAGACACTGGGGAGGGGGAACAGGACCCAGCAGAGAGGGTTTTGGAGGGGGTCGGCGGGGGGATGTCCCGGAGGGAGAGCTGAGACACCGGGGAGAGGGTGCCGAGGGGATCCCGGCCCTGGAGTCGGGAGGGTGCGCGGCTCACCTCGGAGCAGCAGCTGCCGCCGCCGCAGGTACGTCTCGACGGCCGTGAAGTCGCTGGACACCGCGTTGATGCCCACGCTGCGGCCCTGGAGCCAGTGCGTGGTCGCCCCGCCGCGCGCCGCCACCTCGAGCGCCCGCACGCGCAGCGGCGCCGCCGCCTCCAGCAGCACCCGGCCGCGCAGCAGCTCCCCGCCGCGGTACGCGCCGCCGCGCGCCAGCTCCAGCGCGAAGCTGCGGACGCCGCCGGGCCGCATGGCGAGGGGCACGGCCGGGGCGCGCGGCCTGGGCGCACCGGGGGCTTCCGGGTCCCGGGCTGGTCCTGCCGCCGGGGCGCCGCGCGCTCTCTCCCGCCTCTGCCAACGGGTGCAGCCGCCCTGGGCCCCGGGCTGACTTCCTGGTTCTCCTCGCCCGCCCCCGTGACGCACCGGGCCCGCCGGGGACGTGCCGCCCGTGTGCCCGCGTGGTTGGCTTCAAGGCCCCCCCTCCCCTCCGGCGTGGGGCGGGCCGGGTGTTTGTAGGGTCGGCGCTGATGAGTCAGAGGCGGCGGGCGGGCGGGGCGGGTGTGGCTGGATGTGTGGAGGCAGCCCCGGGCTGTGCCCTGTGGTCTCTCTCGCGTCCCCCACCTGGCACCTTCGGCCCTGGGTGCTGCCCCAGCCCCCTGTCGCCTCCTCCCGCCCTGTCACCTGCTGGTTGTGCCCCAGACACACCAAGCTCAGGTCTGGCCTCTTGGCCTTTGCACTGGCTGTTCCGTTGCTAAGGAACGCCCTGCCCGGATCCACCTCCCAGGCCCCTAGTCATGCCCTGGCCTTGTTTACGTCTTTATGGCTCTGACCTCTGTGACTGCCCTGTGTTTACTGTGGCTCCTCCATCAGACTGGCGGCACCCTTTCTCATCACTGGATTTCACAGATAGGGAAACAGAGGCCCCCAGAGGGGCAGCCGCTGCCAGAGGTATCCAGGGATGGCAGAGTCACAACTCGAACCCAGGTCTGACAGCAGCCCATTGGCACCTCTCCATTCCCTTCTCTCTTGCACCCCACCTGTCTCTGCCAGCCAGTGCCAATGGCTTTATCGGAGGCTGCTAGGGCCTGGGCTGTCTGCTGGGCCCAGATTAGCCTCTGCAGGGGCCAGGTTTCCCTCTCCACCCCCATCGGGCCCAGCATCTGCCTGGTGCCTGCTGCCCCCAACACCCTGTGCCCGAGGCCTGGAGGGCTCTGACTCTACTTGTGCCCAGAACCTTCCCACCCGAAATGGGCCACTTTAACCCCACAACTGCACCACACCTCCCCCAGCTCACTCCAGCCCCCCCATGAAGTGTCCTCCCCGAGTCTGGGTTCTTCATGGTGGCCAGTGGGTCCCCAAGTTTCAGTCCTGGCTCACCACCGCTCACACTGTAGCCCCAGGCAGGTGGGTTCGCTTCTCGGTTTCCCTATTCCACCCGGTCAGGTTCCGGTAGAGTCAGTGGGATCATCTACCTCACATTCCCTGAAAACAGCAGGTGCCCAGTACATGTCCGGTGGAGACGGAATAGCCCTCCGCACCCGTGTCCACTCCCTGTTGGACTGTGCTTCCTTGGCACCTGGTCCATAGTGGCTCCAGCAAAGCCAGCTGACTCCCCAGGGCCCCCTGGGGGGCTGGGCCACACCCCCTGCAGGTCAGTGCCGGCAGGACTGGTGCAGACGTCCTCAGGCTCCGGCTCAGGAGACTGCCCGGCTAGGAAGATGATGGGGCTTGACTCACCTTAACCCCCCTATCCATTCTGGGGACCCAGGCCAGGTGTCCACCTCCCATATTGTGACTATGAGTGTCCCCCAACTACACACAACACGCAGCAACTGGCTGGGTCCTGCTTTATTAAGAACCGGCAAGGACCCCTCTCCCTGCTGCTCTGAGCCCACCGGGGGCCTGGGGAGAGTTAGGGGCCAGGGAACCGGAGGACGCCCTGGGCTCCCTAAGCTCCAATCAGGGAGAAAGCAGGCAGCAGCCACCCCTGTCCAGACAGTCTGGGTGGGACGGGCCCCTGGCCGCTCAGCCCAATCAGCTCTGGCTCCTGTTCTCCAAGAGGCACAATGAGACCGGCCTGCCTGGATGGTGTGGAGGTGGCGGCCACACAATGGCCAAGATTGTGGGGTCTGGTGGTGGGCAGGGCCATCACCCGCAGTCTGAGGGGGCCACGGGTGGCCACCGGCATGGGGAGCTCTGGGCTGCCTGGTCTGGGGCGCCAGGCTGGGGAGGCAGGGGCGGGGGAAGTGGGTGTATGGCTTGGGTGATGAGGCCAGGCAAGGCCTGCAGGGAGGTGCCCAGCGCATCCAGGCGGCTCTCCAGGGCAGCCAGGCGGGCCTCCAGGTCCTCGTGCTGGGCGTGCAGCTCGGACATGAGGTCGTACATGGCATTCTGGGTCTGCGAGCGACAGGTGGGAGAGAAGAGGCTGAGCGAGACAGGGACACACACACACACACACACAGATAACTGCAACTGTGAGGACACCCCCAGCCCTGCAGGTGTTCTGCTGGATCCCAGGAAATGGTGGGAGAATAGGTGAGGGACAGACAAGTTAAATGACAGCTGGGCCAGCAGGCCTGGGAACGGCCAAGGGCTGCACTGGGGAGGGGTGGATGTGACCAGAGCCGCACTGAGGATTGAACTGGCCACCTAGCACATACAGTAGACTAGGGATTGGACAGGGGTCTGGAGGGAGGTGAGGATCTGACCCAATCACAGACCCAGGAACACGACTGCCATAATCGCTGTTATGATAGGCGACAGGTGTCCCCACCACCTTTACGACTCCCCACAGGGCAGCCAGCACGGGCCAGTTCTGCTGATCAGGATCCACTCTGGCCACCAGGTGGCGCTAGAACACAGCTCTGCGTCTCTAACCCCAGCTCTCAGAGACCAGACCCGCAGGCGAGGCCCCGAGTTTGCCGCCCCTCCTAGGCTTTGGAGGGGAGCCTGCAGGGGCGGGTCTGGCTGAGGGGGACAAACACCCCAACCACTCGCTCCGCGGGAGAGAAATAGGATGAGGCGCCGATTACATACCTGCAGACTCTCCCAGCCTCTCCACACCTCTGCCCTCCACCCATTCTTGGGTTCCCAGCAGGCTGACCCCACGGCGGGTAGGGGAGGGGGAATGGGAAAGGACAAACACCTCGGAGCCTTCCTAGGGCCACTGACCTTCACCCCAGCCTGCCTCAGGAACCACAGTCCCCAGGGTCAGAGGGTAATATCTGGAGGCATCCAACACTGGGGTGGTTCCTTTTGGCCCTCTCTGAGATTTAAAAAAAATTGTTTTAAACGTAGGATATACAGGGTGTCCCCCAAAATGTATACACACTTTGAATAATGAATTTCAATGGGTTAAATCTGAAAAGAAAGAAACATCACTGAGCTATTGGCTGTAAAGTGTGGGACACCCTCTATATTTTATTTTTGCCAGAGAAATACAAATTAAATTAGCAACCTTGGAAAGGAAAGCAGAAAAATTTGATTGGAAAACATTTTAACCTTGTTTAATTAAAAAAATTAGAAACCCATATAATCCAATCTAATTAAAGACTGAATCCAAAGAAGCTTTTGTAAAATGTATTTTGAGAGTATATCGCCATGATTACAAGGTTTAAAATTTTAAAAATTCAAATCTCAATCATTTGTGCTAAAGAAGTGTAATATGGACCATTCAAATTATAATTCCTAGTATCTGAGTTTTTCCAAGGTATTTTATATTTATAGCTATAATTTCATATGACATCAAATTAATTGGCCAATGATTTTTATATTCTCTTAGGGTTATGCTCTAGTATCTACTACCAATTGAATTATTTATTTTTAAAACATGTTTTTATTGGCTTCAGAGAGGAAGGGAGAAGGGAAGATAGAAGCATCAATGATGAGAATGATCAATTGGTGCCTCCTGAATGCCCCCTGCTGGGGATCAAGCTTGCAGCCAGTCATGTGCCTGATGCTCAACCACTCACTGAGCCACACCAGCTGGGCTGAATTATTTCTTCAGGGTTCTAGAATGTATTTTCCTCTGTAACGTTCCCTTCCAAATTAATTTGATGTAGGTTAATATTAAATCACTTTGTGATCTCTTGAAATGAGGGAGAGAGCGAGTCCACAATGAGCTGGGTATAAGAAGTGAAATAGAATAGGACTTAACATCTTTTAAAGATAACATTAAAGTAACCTCTAACTGATAATTGATTAGGGAGTGGGACCAACAGGCAAAGCTCACACATGAACTATTTATGAAGTATGCCACATTGTCAGGAGAAGTTCTGAATAGTGTGAGAACATTCTAAGAGAAAAGCAGGAAAGAGGGGAGGACTTGATGTCTGAACCAACAAATAGATCCATTTATAACACAAACTGACTGGACTGAGCTGTGGAATCAACTTTAATTTCCTAAAAGGTGTTTAGCTTTCTGTTGGGGCTATTATTTGAATTTATACCCGCAGCGAAAATACCACATCATCAATTTTGCCCATATAGATGATTTCCTTATATATTAATTAAAAACAAAACAAAACACTAGCCTGGCAGGCTTGGCTCAGTGGTTGAGCATCAACCTATGAACCAGGAGGTTCCCAGTCAGGGCACATGCCCAGGTTGTGGGCTCAATTCCAGTAGGGGGCATGTAGGGGGCATGCAGGCGGCACAGATCAGTGATTTTCTCTTATCATTGATGTTCCTATCTCTCCACCTCTCCCTTCCTCTCTGAAGTCAATAAAAGTATATTTAAAAAAAATAAAACTATTGCCGATGTAAAGAGTAGCCTTTGCAGATATAGATTCCCGGAGTTCCTCACACAGTCAGAGCTTCTTTCACCATGGACCTTGCAGACGGGGCTGCTGTGCCCTGGTGGCTCATATGCCCTGTGTCACCTGCTGGTATCACCTGCCTGCCCTGAGAACCCAGTGCTGCCCCTCCCTCCACAGGAGCTGTGCCCAGTCCTTTACTGAAATGCCCCCTTTCTCCCCAACCAGCCCAGACTGGCCCAGGGAGCCATCCCACCTGGCCCCCCCCTTGCTCACCTTGGCCAGCTCTGCGAGTGAGTTGGCCTGGTCGTTCAGCTTTCCCTGCTCAATCTTCACACTCCGGAGCCTGGGGACCGGCGGGTGGGTGGGGTTGTGTGGAGGATGCATTGTTGGGGGGATGGGGAGTCCCTCATGCACTTGCCCCACCCAGGACATGCAGTGGGGAGATGAGGTGGGAGTTGGGGTCAGGCCCCCTGCAGCCCATTCCCTCCCCACGGCAGGGCCTGGGCGGCAGCTCAGCCACTGCCCAACGTGACCACCGTCTGGCCATGTGCATCCTCCAGGAGCTGCCCCCGGGATGCACCCTGACCCATGACCATCATGCACCCCTGACCCGCAGGAGAAGACTTACTTCTGAGCTCTGGCAGGACCCGGGGGAGCAGAGAGAAATCACAGGGCAATTTTAATCTCAGCACCACGGGGCGGCTCATGCCCAGTGCTGCCCTCCTCCCACATGCTGACCCCTGGGCCCAGGGGCTGTTGCCCTTGCTCTGCAGAGGGGCTCAGCTTCTGAGAGGGCAGTGCCGGCCCCTCAGGGGTGCGTCCGTCCTCTGCCCCCTCCCTCGAGCAGTACCCACCCAGCCCTGGCCAGGACAAACTCAGCTGCCCTCCCGCTGCAACTCTGCTGTCTGCCAGCCTGTGCCAGGCACCTGGACCCAGAGGTGACTGTTAGTCCAGTAAACTACCCCCATGATGGTTCCTAAGGGGGAAACTGAGGCTCAGAGTGGCAAAGCCAATGGCTGGTAAAACCCCGCGGGATCTGATCAGCCTCTCTGCCCTTGGCCTCCACTAGCTGCCGAGACGTGGGGGATGGCCTGTGTGTCCGCGCCTTCCTCTCCCAGCCTCTGTGGTTAAACTGGGCCGGGGGAGTGGTTCCAAGTAAGACTCTTCATCACTGGCTCAAACTCCGCCTCAGGGCCCACCATGCTGAGCCTGCCAGGGTCCCCAGACCCGGCCCTCGGTCTGGAGAACAGAGGCGAATACAGCCGGCCCCAGAGGCTGCGAGGAGCCCTGCCGGCCTTCCCCGGAGAGTCACAGGGGTTGGCTGGTGTTCCCACAAGAGATACACTGAAGTCCCCTAGGAGCTCAGTATGTGACCTGCTTCCCCAGGCTAAGATGAGCCGCTGGGGGGATTACTGTATCATTATTAATATTAATTGGTGTCTTCATACAAAAGGGGAAGTCTGTACACAGACAGGCACAGATGGAGGACAACACGAAGACGCAGGAAGAACGCCACGCGGAAACGGACTGCTGGAGCGACGCATCTGCCGGCTAAGGAACGGGGACGCTGCCAGCAGCCAGGAGAGACCTGGAACAGATCCTCCCCTGGCACCTTCATGGGAACACGGCCCTGCTGACACCTTGGTTTTGGTCTTCTGGCCTCAGGACGGTGACCATAAATTCTGCTGTTTCACATCACCCACTTACTACCGCAGGCCAGGGAGACACCCCCCCCACCCCCACCCCGCTCCTCTGAGACCCCATCTTCCTTGTCACGGGCTTTGCAGACAGCGCCCCCTCGTGGGGCTCCCTCACGTGGGCAGAGCAGACCTCCCCTCTCCCAGGCACTGTGCTCCTCCCGGCCTCCTTGCCTCCCCTCAGCCTGGGGGCCCTCCTTGGTGTGCCAGCCTGCCTCTCAGCTTCCAACTCAAATCCCATCCGCCCTCCCAGCTCCCATTCACACTCGCTCGACTTCATCATCTGTTCTTGCAGGGCTATTGCTTTGGGTGGGGGTGGGGGTGGGGGTGCAAGGGAATCTAAAGGTGATTGAAACAGTCCTGCCCCAGACAAATGGTCACAAATAATTCACCGAGCAGGCGCCTTCTCCCCAGCCCTGGCTGTCCTCAATTCTCATACTCCTACCTTCCCCAAAGAACTTTCTGGAACATCCCCTAGGGCAAGATCCAGGGCCGAGCCACATCTAGTGTCCCCCACACCGGCTGGTGCAGGAAATGCTTGTGGAACTAACAATTCCAGTTCCTATATTTAGAAAATGCTGTGCGGCTGTCAGGCACAGGTGAGTCATCTGGTCATCCCAGCTGTGTTAGATCAATATCACCCGAGTTACCATCATCTCCTCCTTACAGATAAGATACGTGGAGCAGTGCGTCACCGGCCCAGGCCCCCCTGTTAGGTGGAAGGGACCAGACTGGGAACCAGTGGTCCACTAACAACTGTGGAAGAGTCAGCAAGGAGAGCTCCCTGCCCTCAAGGGTCTCAAAGCCTGTGAGGAGGTAGGACTAACACCTGGGCACAGTGGGAGACCAGCTCCTCTCCCTGGTTTTAGATGGTGGTGGAAGTGGAGGCAGAGAGCAGGGGCCGGGGGGGGGGGGGGGGGGGGAGGTGGACGCTATGTGCTACCAAGAGATGGTTCTGTGCTGGGGCCTATGCCAGGCATTTCTGCATATCATCTCCTTTAGACCTCCAAAGTCCTGGGAGTATGGATTATTGTCACTAGAAAGCATCCCAATTATGACAGCAAACACAATACACGTAAATGGACTAAACTCTCCAGTTAAAAGACAAGGATGGTAAGCAGCACAAGAAAACGTTTGGGGTGATGGATCTGTTCATTATTTGATGGTAGTTTCGTGGGTGTGCACATAGGTTAACACTCGTCAAACTGTACACTTTAATAGGTGCGGTTGTCTGTATGTCAATTATACCCCAATAAAGCTGTTTTTAAAAAAGAGGTAAACATGAGGGAACGGAATTAAGAAATAAAAGCCCAGCTGGTGAGCTTCCTCTCCCATGACCTGCCTCTCCCTGGTAAGCGGCCATTCTCCTTTCCATTCTCCTTTCCTTCCGGAAGCCCAGGCTCAGGGCCGTCCTCTATCCCGCCTCCCCGTCCTCCTGCTCACACTGGCATTCTCTGTGCTGCCTCTGGTTATGGCTGAGTCGGTCGCCCTCCTGCCGTCCTAGCTCACATCCTCACACTGCTCATCTCTCTCTCTGACCCGAGTCTGGCCTGCGGCTCCTGGGGCAGGAGCCCTCGCACCCGCCGGGGAGAACGACTGGTGAATGGGTTTTCTCATGATGAGACCTGGGAACTCTCTTCCGAGAGGCTCCCTCTGAAAAGTGCCCAAGAGCATGTTTCCACTCTTTTACACCAGGTGCCACGTGGCCCCACCCCACAGAATCGGGAGCTGTTTAAATTCTAGACAGGGAGCCAAAACTGGTTTGGCTCAGTGGATAGATAGAGCATCAGCCTGCGAACTGAAAGGTCCCAGGTTCGATTCCAGTCAAGGACATGTACCTTGGTTGCGGGCACATCCCTAGTGGGGGGGGCGTGCAAGAGGCAGCTGATCGATGATTCTCATCGATGTTTCTAACTCTCTATCCCTCTCTCTTCCTCTCTGTAAAAATATTAATAAAACATATTTAAAAAATAAATTCTGGATGCTGGCTCATGCATCCTATATAAAATGTGGTTAGTCCAAATAAAAACATACTGTGAGTGTAAAATACATGATGGACTTTGAAGATTTAGTACAAAAAACTTTATAAAATATTTCAGTGATTTAAAAAAAACTTAATAGCCGAGACCGGTTTGGCTCAATGGATAGAGCGTCAGCTTGGGGATTGAAGGGTCCCGGGTTCAATTCCGGTCAAGGGCATGTACCTTGGTTGCGGGCATATCCCCAGTAGGGGGTGTGCAAGAGGCAGCTGATCGATGACTCTCTCATTGATGTTTCTAACTCTCTATCTCTCTCCATTCCTCTCTGTACAAAATCAATAAAATATATTAAAAAATAAATAAAAAATAAAAAATAAACTTAATAACATGCTAAAATAATAATAATTTGGATACACTAAATAAATATATTAATTTTATTTTACTTGCTCCCTTTTGCTATTTTTTTTTTTTTTTTTAATGTGGCTGCTAAGCAATGTGACATTGTACATGTAGCTCATAGGATGTTTTGAGTGGACAGTCCCTGGCATTTCATATCTGTGAGCCAAGCCTGGCCAGGTGCCCGTTTTGGAAAATCATGCACAGACACGCCCGCTCACCTCCACGGCGTTCCCGGGACAGGTGATCTGGGCCACGACGCCTGAAATGTCTACTGTCTGGCTCTTTACCGAAAACGTGCCAACTCTGGACTCACCAGAGGACCTTAAGCCTGAGCCCAGACTAACCGCAGACTGCAGTGTACCTGGTGCTGGGTGTGGCCAAAGAGCAGCCAAGGATCAGAACTACTTGAATGAGTAATTCTCAGGACGAAGGGACAAAAGAGGAAACTAAGTAGTTTCTCATTATTCCACATGAGCTTATAGATCCGGCCACAAATTCCGAGCTTCCTGCTAAAGCCAAAGGGGACATTGCTTCAGTGTCTAGGGGTAGAGTCCTTCGGGCTATTCCAGGGAATAAAACATGCTTCCTGCCATGTGTGCTGGATGGACTGCATGCCTTACCACAGGTGATGTCCCTGGGTGATTGCTGGGCCCTTCATCTCTCTCCCTGGACCATGCCAACTACCCATCCCACAGAAGATGCTGGCCCCAGCCCCCTGGCCACCTAGGCTGTCCGGCCTGGCCCTCGGCCTCCTCCCGCGGGGGGCGGGTGTCACGCTGCCTCCGCCGGGGCGGGCACAGAACCGTGGTGGGAAAGGTGCTGGACTTACTGATGGATGGCTTGGAGGAACTTACGCTGGTGTTTCCGAACCCGGGCGTAGTCTGGCTTCCTCACCAGCCTGGTGTGTTTGTAGATGAGCCACGTCTCCCTGAGAACGTTAGCAGCGGCGTTTTTCACCTGGGCCGGAGAGAGCATTCCCTGTTTCGCACGCGGGAAACGGAGGCACAGCGAGGCCAGCCCGCCACGGCCAGCTCGTAACCTGCACGTGGCTGCCTGGTCCCATCACTCCTGCCTCTCACTGCACAGCCCGCAGCGGGCGGCGGCTGGCACACGTGGACCCCTGCGGCCTTCCCCGCGGCTCTGGGCACGCTGCCGGGCGACCTGGTGAATGGCAGAGCCCAGGGCAGTGCTGGCACAAGCAGGGCAGCGTGGGGACCGGTGGGCACATGGGTGTGCCTATAACGTGCAGAAGGAGGGCGGGAGGGTCTGCCCTTGATGATCAGGAGGCTGGCATAATGGGGGCTGTGATGGGGCTGGCATCCTTACCCGCTTGGTGAGCTGTGTGTCCATCATGAAGTTGTGCACGTGCTTCTCTGCCTTGGTGAGCTCCAGCTTCCGGGCCACCACAGCCACCACGAGCGCCGTGCAGCCAGCCCCCTGCGTGAGGAGGGGGGAGCACATCAGCACCCTGCTTCCTGCGGGCCCCCGGCCAGAGCAGGACACGCTCCCTCCTCCAGGAAGCCTGCCCTGGGCCCGCCTCGGACTTCACCCTCCGCGCCTGCAGCGCTGGCACAGAGCTCGCTGGCTCCCGGCCCATGTGCTCTATCCATCCAGTGTCCGGGGTGTCCCACCGAGGAGCGCACTTTATCCCAACAACTCCGTCCTCATCTCCACTGGACAGAGCGGGATCCGAGGCTCGGAGACAAGAAAGCGACAAGGAACAGCAGGGTCTGCAGGCGAGTTTGGGGCCGAGGACCATGGAAGTGGGAGGATTTAGAATCTGTCGGGGCTTTGGGTCTGGGTATTGGGGACCGAGGCTGGGCTAACAGTTGCTGACAGTGCGAAGGGGAAGGGAAGCGTGGGAAAGGGCCGGCCAGCCTAGCACAGCGGGGCACCTGCAGGGGGGAGAGGAATGCCCAGGTCCCAGCAGGTAGGGGGGGGGGGGGAGAGGAATGCCCAGGTCCCAGCAGGTAGGGGGGAGGGGAGAGGAATGCCCAGGTCCCAGCAGGTAGGGGGGAGGGGGGAGGAATGCCCAGGTCCCAGCAGGTAGGGGGGAGGGGGGAGGAATGCCCAGGTCCCAGCAGGTGTGGGGGGGTGCCTCCTCATGGGGTTCCCTGGTGGATCCACTCTCCTCAGGGTGCCCTTAGCAGCAGCCCAGCCAGGAAAGGAGGTCGCTTGGGGGCTGCTGGGAGGGGCCGGGGGCAGGAGTGAGGCGCCAAGGAGGAGGGAAGGGCAGGAAAGGGAGGGGCAGCAAAAAGCAACACAGGAGGAAGAAAGCAGGGGGGGGGGGAGGTTCTGTCACTGAGAAGTGGGGTCCAGGGAGCCTAGGACACTCAGGAGGTGCCATCAGCCTCAAAAGTGGCCAGGAAGCGGGCGGCAGGGCAGGCGATGGAGCCAGAAGTTGGTTGTCGGCCTGTGCTGGAGGCTGTCCCTGGTGTCCTGCCCGCAGCTGCTGAGTACCGGGTGGGAGGAGGGAGAAACCCCGGCGAGGGCCCTGAGGGCTGGGGCTGGGGGTGTGGCTGGCACAGGTTCCCTTTTTCTCAGGGTAGGGGGGGGGAGGGAAACGCTTATGGGGAGGAGTGGACAAGGTCCAGGGACACTGTCAAACTCTCCTGGCTGGGCCAACACGCCCGGCTTACCCTCCAAGGAAACCCGATGAGGGATGAGGGCTCCCGACCAGGGCAAGGCCGTTAGAGGACTCACGAGGCTCCTCGGAAAACGCTGTGATTGGGGGCAAAGCAGCGCCCGGACACCTGTCCGTGCACGCTGCCCGGCGAGGAAGAACGGTGACCGCGCTGCCCCACGGCACAGCTGCCCACAGCAGGAGGAGGCTCAGAGGAAGCCCGCCGGGACAGCAAGTTCAAGAACAGGGAAACGTGCCGAAACCGGTGTGTGTGCTGGGGCGAGGGCTGGGAGTGTGCTGTTGGCTGGACATGAAACTGGTTAGGCTCAGTGGATAGAGCGTCAGCCTATGGCCTGAAAGGTCCCAGGTTTGATTCCGGCCAAGGGCATGTACCTTGTTTGCGGGCACATCCCCGGTAGGGCGTGTGCAGGAGGCAGCTGATCCATGTTTCTCTCTTATGGATGTTTCTAACCTCTATCCCTCTCTCTTTCTCTCTGTAAAAAATCAATAAAATATATTTTAAAAAAAGAGCAGGGAAACGCGTGGTTGGCGGGACAGTGGGAGGGGCTGAGTCTGTGAGCAGTGACCGGGAGGGATGCACTGGGCACAGAGGGGACAGGAGAGAGCCAACAGAGCAGCTAAAGGGACCCGGGCATGACCGTGTGTGTGTGTGTGTGTGTGTGTACGTGTGTGTGTGCGTGTGTGTGTGTGTGTGTGTGTGTGTGTGTGTGTGCTGGGGCGAGGGCTGGGAGTGTGCTGTTGGCTGGACATGAAACTGGTTTTCTGGAAGGAGCTGCGTCCCGGAGGAGAGAACACAGCTTTTCCCTTCCACTGAGGGTTTTCTGGTTAAAGCTCACGTATGTGTTTTTGTTTATTTAGAAAGTCCATTTGCTGGCGGTGGAGGTGGGGGGGAAGGGGGACGGAGAGGGGGGGTTGTGGCTGATCTTTACTTTCCCTTCCTCTGTCACAAAACAACGTAAGTAAGCACGTGTGCACGATGCCCTTTCCCACCGGAGGGCGCTCAGCTCGGCCAGGAGGCGGGGTGCGGGGTGCAGGGCTTGGGGAAGGCCTGGTGGGGAGGCAGGAAGGGGGGGCGCCTGGTGGGAAGGCAGGAGGAAGCGGCCCTCCAAGCAGGAGGGAGGGAGAAGGGAAGGCGAACAGAGCAGCTGAGCTTCAGGCTTAAAGAGACGGTGACCCCTGGAGACAAGGCGTCCAGAAGGGGCTGTGGGAGCCTCTGCAGGAGAAAAGGACGCGGTGGAGGGGGTGGCGCCACGTTTTTGCAAGAACAAACGCTTGTCTGTGTGGTACAGCTTGTGCCGTGACCTCCCTGCCGGGGTGTGTGTGTGTGTGTGTGTGTGTGTGGAAGGGCCGGCCTTACCATGATGCCGGTGAGCAGGCACACGCCCTTCCCGCAGTAGGTGTGCGGCACCATGTCTCCGTAGCCAATGGAGAGGAAGGTGATGGAGATGAGCCACATGGCCCCCAGGAAGTTGCTGGTCACTTCCTGTTTGTCGTGGTACCTGGGGAGAGCAGGGAGGGCTGGTCAGCGGCACGGTCCCTCCTCCTCCATCACACCCCCGGGGCCGTGTCTAGGATCAGAGAGCCGCCCGCCCCAGGGCTCACAGGGATAAAGGCGGATTGCAGGGGGGAGGGGTGCTTCCGGGACAGAGCGCACCCAGATCCTCCCCCCGGCTCCCTGTCACCCTCCTTCCTTCACACACCAAAGCCGCTGCTCGGGACATCTGCCCTCCTGGCCCTGGGCACGGAGCAGAGAGGGGCCAGGTGAGGGTATGTCCACGTGTGTCCACACATGTCCACCGGAACCTTTCCCACGGACAGACACACAGACAGGCGCGGACACGTGGCCATGGGCACCGGGAGCAGCAGGGCGGTGAGGATTCACGTCAGAAATCAGGAAGGACTTCCCTAGCTGGCCAGCCCTGAGGGAGGGTCTGTGGGGAGATGGGGCTGAAGAATCAGGCTCCGGGACTCGGGTGAAGAAGGGATATTAATGTGTGGAGGGCAGCACCAGCCACCCCAACCCCATGTCTGGGTTGATCTGGGGGTAAGGAGAGCAGGGACGGCATACTTAGCCCTGGGGGGAGCTTGGGGCCTAACTTTTGATGTGTGTGTGTGTGGGTGTGGGGGGGTCTCAGGCCCCAAGGCCTTGCAAAGCACCTGCTTTGTCCCCATCGCAGACTATGAACAGGTTCTACCTGGGTCAGCCTGGGCTGGGGGCCCTGCAGCTGGTTCTCTGGGCCTGGGGGCAGCTCAAGGTTCTGCTCTAGGCCAGCCCCCAGCCTGCAAAGCCCCTCCAGCTTGCGGGAGCCCTTTCCAACTAAACCCTCCTTAGCTGGCCTCAGGCCCTCTGAAACCCCGCCCGCGGTGAAGACCTCCTTTGAAAGGGTTCGAGGTCAGAGGCCATAGTGGCACAAAGGAGGGGGGCCCTCACTGTGGGGTGTAAGGGGGCGGGGTGGGGGGGAAGGCTGTTTAGGTAGATGGGGCGGGGCCAGGGGTTCAGGTGGGGAGGAGATGGAAGGGAAGCCCAGTGGGAGCGGCAGGGATGGGGGCCGTCACAGCAGGTCTGGTGTTCGGCAGTCTCCGCCCCACTGGGGGGCTCCTGTGATGTTTGCTGGGTGCAGGGGACAGAAACTGACCCCCAATTTTCACTGAAGTACCTGAACCCCAACCTGCCTCAGCCTCCACCTCTGGGGAGACCAGCACCCCCAACTCAGGAGGCAGGAGGGGGGCTCTCTAGCCATGGGTGGGTGCTGCAGAACCCCAGGACCAGGGAGGGGGCATGCGGGAGGTGAGGTAGGGGTGGGACAGAGCCGTGGGGTGGAGGGACGCAGGCAAAGGAGTTTCAAGCAGCGATATGGGCTCAGAATTTAGGGTTGGCTGCCCCCCTCCCCACCCCCACCCGGGACCCCCGGAATGACCCAGCCTGGACCTCAGGGATGCCTGAGGAGGGATACCTCTCTCATTCCCAGGCCTTGGTCCTGAGCCTGCCCTGAGGGTGGGGAATGGGCTGTGGGAACTGACATTGGGGCATATCAGGGGTCCAAGGAGCCCCGTGTGATCCCCCCGGTGGTAAGCCTTGATGACAAGGAGGGGGGCTTGAAGGGGTGGGGACTGAGGTCCTTGGGGGCAAGTCCAGCCCAGGGCCCCTCCCCCAGGAAGCCCAATCATAGCACCGCCTAACACTGACCCTCCGGAGCCTCCCGGACGAGGCAGAGGCAGCAGAGACCCCGCCCGAACAGGCGCCCCTCGGCCCGAGAGCCCAGCAGAGCCCCTCCCGCCGGGGTCCCCGGGGTTGGCAGAGACCGGAAGCAGGCTCTCAGGAATGTCCCTTTGCCCCTGGGAGCCTCGGTTTCCTCGTCTGTAACTTGGGTTGATGGCTGCCTTCGTCCAGGACTGTTGAGAACAAAACCCAAGTAGGGATCCGAAAGGCTGGGCCAGTGTCCTCCACCCCAGACTCCGGATCCCTGGGTCAGCTGCCCAAACAAGGTGCTAGAGCTCAGCCCTTTTCCTCCCCACACCTTGGCAAAGGCCCCGAGGGCCCCAAGTGGGCAGAAGCTGAGACTGGCCTGCCTCCCACGGTCCTGAGCCTAACTCAACCCTACCTGCCCCTCACCCCCATGGGCTCCTGCCAGTCCTGGCCACCCTGCCTCCCCTCCCCAGGCCCGCCCTCTCGGCAGCTAATCTTAAATTCCTCACGGCAGCATGGTGGCAGCACTCCGCACACACAGCTTGGCCAAGGCTGGGACTCACATGTTTCCCCTACAGTCCAGCGGGGCAGGCAGAGGGGAGAAGGAGAGCAGGTTAAACTGGGGGAGAGACGGGCAGCTGGGCAAGCCCCCAGCTCCTCTGCCTCCACTGCCTGGGCCAGAGGTCAGAGGCCAGCTGCCCCCAGAGCAGAGGGGCATGAGTCCCCCCCGGAGGAGAGTGGGAGGAAGGGGGCTGGGGAAGCAGGGGGTGTGGGTCAGGGGTGGTTGGGGACACAAGGCTGGAGTCCCAGGGTTATGGACAGTCGCTGAGGCCAGGAACTGGACAGGGGAGGGTGGGGGAGATCAAGGGGATGAAAGAGATGCTGGAGGAGCCCTTGGGTCACTGAAGCCATGGATGGGTCTGGGGTCATCAGGGTCAGGGTCAGGGTCAGGAGGATGGATGGATGGGGTTGCTAGGGGAGCTCTGGGCACTGAAATAACGGGTGGGGCTCACTGGGATGAGGGGGACAGAAGCGATGGCTGGGGGAGCCGGTCACTGACATCATGGGTGGGCCCGGCGCTCCCCGGGCCAGGGGCTGGGGGGAGGCGCACCTCTCGCAGACGCGCACGGTCCAGGCGGCGATGATCCAGGAGGAGATGCTGAAGACCAGCAGCACGGTGCCGGGGCAGATGGTCATGAGCGTCTTCATGACGAAGCGCGTGTTGAAGGTGATCTTGTTGAGCGCGCCGATGCTGCGGGAGGAGGCGTCCGTGAAGATCTTGCTGTGCAGCAGCATGACGCGGCCCAGCAGGTAGAGGCGCAGGAACATGGGCACGGACAGCAGCACGTCCACGTCGGCCTCGGCCGCCGCCGGCGCGTAGGTGAAGGCCAGGCGCGCCGTCCAGGTGAAGCGGTAGTGGCCGGGCACCGGGTGGATGGCGCACACGGCCAGCTCCAGCGAGATGAGCAGCACGCGCTCGCACGTCATGGCGATGCGCCAGTCGTCCGCCCCGTTGTCCACCATGAACAGCTGCGGGGGGGAGGGCGGGCGGGTGGGCGGCGGGGTCTCACACACACATCCGAGCCCCCAGCTTGCAAGACCCGCGGGGGAAACCCCTCCCACCCGGCTTTTACCACAAACACGCCTCCCAGGCTAAACCCCTTCCATCCCAGAGGTTTGGCCACACTCCAAACTAAACGTGGGGCCGGGGGTCCACAAAAGGTTAACCACAGGAGGACCGGGACCCAGCAATCCCAATCCTAAGTGGGGTCCACAAGAGAAATGAAAACAGACGCTGGAACCAATTCCTGTGCACACACAGCCACAGCAGCTCTGTTCACACCACCCGAGGTGGGAACACCAGCATCCATCAGAGGAAGAGGGTGAACAAAATGGAGAGTTTCTCAGCCACGAAGCGGGTAAGGCACTGGCACACCCCACCGTGTGGGTGACCCTGGAAACATCAGGCTGAGGGACAGAGGCCAGGCACTCAGGCCTCTCCCAGGGTCCAGGGCCCACGCTGCCACTCCGTGGGACTGGAAGGTGGAGCATTCGGCCCAGAGGATTCTTCTCGAGCCTTCAGAGCTCATGGAATCTGCCTTGCTGGCGCTGAGACTCGATTGGAACCCATGCCCTTTGCTTCTTTTGGATTTTCCCTCTTGGAAGAGGAATGTCTGTCCTGTGCCTGTGCCAGCACTTGTCTGAGTCACTCCTGGGGAAGAAGCTTACCTTAATCTAACCCAGATCTCACTTAGATGATTTAAAAAAAAAAAAAAAAATATATATATATATATATATATATATATATATATAGTATTGATTTTTCACAGAGAGGAAGGGGGAGGGACAGAGAGCTAGAAACATCGCTGAGAGAGAAACATCGATCAACACCCCCTGCTGGGGATGTGCCCGCAACCAAGGTACATGCCCTTGACCGGAATGGAACCTGGGACCCTTCAGTCTGCAGGCCGATGCTCTATCCACTGAGCCAAACCTGTTAGGGCACTTAGATGATATTTAAATGAGACTTTGGACTTGATGCTGAAACAGGGGATATTGGGACGGAATGAGTGCATTTTGCATGGGAGAAGGACATGAATTTGGGGGATGGGCCATCTGTTATGGGCTGAATCTTGTCCCCTCGAAATTCCTATGTTGAAGCCCTAACTCTCAACGTGACTGTATTTGGAGACAGGGCCTTAAAGAGGTGATTAAGGTTACATGAGGTCAGAAGGGGGTGTGTCCTTTTAAGAGGAAGGGCCCTGGCTGGGTGGCTCAGTTGGTTGGAGTGCCATCCTGTACACTAGGTGGTTTGGGTTTGGTCCCCGGTCAGGATGTGTGTGAGCGGCAACCCGTCGATGTTTCTCACATAGATGGTTGTTTCTCTCTCTCTAAAAATCAAATCTTCATGTAAGAATTAAAATCTAAAAGAAGAAGAGGAAGAGACACTGGGAATACATGCACACAGGGAAGAGGCCTGTGAGGACACAGTGAGACAGTGGCTGCCTGCAAGCCAAGGAGAGAGGCCTCCCCAGGACCCAGTCCTACCAGCACTGATCTTGGATTTGCAGCCTCCAGAACTGTGAGAAAATAAGCTTCTGTTTGCTGAAGCCACTCAGCTGTGCAAACCTCCTTCTTTCTTTTTATGGCTGAATACCAAATAAGTGAATATTATATAAATAGAATAATATAATATGTTAATAATACAATGAGCCCTAGACCGTTTGGCTCAGTGGCTAGAGTGTCGGCCTGTGGACTAAAGGATCCAGGTTCGATTCCAGTCAAGGGCACGTACCTCAGCTGCAGGCTTGATTCCTGGCCCTGGTGAGGGCTTGTGAGGGAGGAAACCAATCAATGTGTCTCTCTCACTCTGATGTTCCCCTCTGTCTCTCCCCCTCCCCTGCACTCTCTCTAAAAAAAAATCAATGGGAAAATATCCTTAGGTGAGGATTAACAACAACAAAATAATAATACAACGAATAGCAATTCCACTGTATGAACAGACCTTTTGGTTTATCCATATACCTGATAACAGCTAGGTACCTGACTTCCCACTTTCTGCTGTTGTGAAGAGGGCTGTTATGAACATTTGCGTGCACGTTTTTGCATGGATGTTTTTGTTTCTCTTGGATCTACACCTAGGAGTGGATTTGCCGGATCATTTGGTAACTAACTCTGTGAGTAACTGTTTGAGGAGCTGCCAGACTGTTGTTCCCAATGGCTGTAGCCTCCGAACGGCTTCCTCTCAGCTCAGTTGTCACTGTCCCCTCCTCTGCTGCCCTCAGCCACACCCAGGGCCCTCCCTGTGTGCCAGACCCTGGTGTCTCCATCGACACCTGCACATGGTGCAGCCCAGGCAGGATTTCCTCCACCCATTTCCTGCCAGACTGCCAGGGGTCAGAGGCCAGATCTGACATCCTTTGGTGTCCCTGGGGCCTGGCACAGGGGATGTCCGCCCTCCGGGGGCACACCTGCCTGACATGCCCTGAGCCGGACTCAAGCCGGGCCTGGTTTTGATTAATCCCCCCAAAAAGAACGAACTCCCTGGCATGGGACAAATCCTTTAAATGTAGGGTCCGATGGAATTCGAAAGGAGCCTGGTGCTCATCACACTGGTTTCCACCATGTAAACCCTCCGAAGACTCCACATGGGCCCTGTGTGCTAGCTCTCAGCTCATCCCCACTTCCCACCCTGCGCTCCGACCGACCCTTTCTCAAATAACCAATAAAAAGTAAAACATAGACGCTCGTTCTAGGAAACGTCAGAGTTGTCAAAAAGGTGTGCCTTCCCGGAGATCCTTTTCTATAAGGAAGCTATTGGTCCTCATGCTTAGAGGCTGGGGCTCCAGGTGGCTGGTGTGGAGGGAGAGGGGGTACCCCAGCCCAGCTGGGCACTGACCTGGATTTCCCGGGCATGGTAGAGGATAACCAGACCCAGCAGGATGACTGTGGAGAGGCTGATGAGGCATTTGAGTGCAAATGAGTACAGGGACTCCTGGGCAGAGAGAGAGCAAACAGCAGGACGATGCTGAGAGGGGTGGAGGGGGGCGGCCCTCTGACCCTCACACCTGGCTCTTCGCTCAGAAAGCGGCACTCCTGCCCTTACTCTTTAGCCTGAGCTTAGAGTAAGATGGGTTAGTGCTTCACAGTTTGTAAGGCCGGGCTTCATGTGGGTACGGTACTTCAGAACGTATAAGGCCTGGCCTCCTGCAGGCTCAGTATGCCAGGGGTTATAAGGCTTAGCCTCACACGGACATACACTTCAGAGTTTATAGGGCCTGTTCTCACAGGCACAGCATCTCGCCGTTACAGGCAGACAGCCCTGACCACTCTGTCCTCACACACCCTCAGGCAGCGCTAAGGGACCACAGCCCGGCTCATATCCGGGCCCCAACTGCTGGGGGGGGGGGGGGCTCTTTCCCTGCTCTCCACCCAGGCCTCGTCTGAGCTCCCCCAGCCCAGGCATATCTGGGGGACATCCCCTACCCACCATGAGCCAGGGTATGGCCCTTGGTGCAAGCGGGGGAATGGACTCGAGTCTCTGGCCCCCATCTGCAGTCTCCCTCCACCCCAGGAAGTGGGCACAGCAAGAGCCCCAGGAGCCCCCCATCTCCCATCTCCGGGGTCCCCTGTTCCCCCCATCCTCCTCTCCTGGGGCGACGTGCCCTGATTCCATGCCCGAGGGATGACGGGGAGCCAGGGGTGCCAGGCAGAGCCTCTCTGAGGTGCTGGGTAGGGCTTCCCTGCGGTGCCAGGGAGAAGGGCCATGCCTACCTTAGTGTAGACCCCCCAGGACAGCTCCGTCTCTGTCACCATGACAACGATGCCAAACATGCCAAAGATGAGGGCGTAGTCACTGAGGCGCTTCCGCTTCTCGAAGAGCACCCGCCGGTGGCCCAGGCGGTGGCCCACGTTGGGGGGCCTCCGGGAGCCCCGCTGCCCCCCCACCTCATCCTCCTCCTCGTCTTCCTCCTCCTCCTGGTCCTGGGAATGCCCGCGCGGGCTGCCGGGTGAGGGCCCGCCAAGCTCGTTCTTGGCCACCACGACCTGGAGGCCCGGACTGTGTGGGGGCTGCAGGGGGCAGCTGGCCTCGGCGTCTGGAGGGTCTCGGGTCAGGGCCCCCAGCCCGCCTCCCAGCGGCCGCCCCCCGCAGCCATTGTGGCTGTGGTTGTTCATGACTATGTGGGTGCCGGGGTTGGGCTCACGGCAGGCTGCCTGGGGCCCGGCATGGCTCAGCAGCGGGGCTCCCACGCTGACCTGCAGGGGCATAAGGGACACGGTCATACCACCTGAGCAGGGGGCCCGGGACCACGCTCAAACCCTCTAACCCTCTCGTGGCTCCCCAGTGTCACTGCCTAAAAACCAACTTTCCCCCCCCCCCCTCCCGTGGCCAGGAGGCCCCCTGGGGTCCCATTCCCACACCATTCGTCCCCCTCACTCTCCCCAGAAGCACTCCCTTCCAGAAACACTGGCCTCCCTCTCACCTATCCCAGCCAGCGTGGCCCTGCCTCAGGGCCTTTGCATGTGCTGTGCCCTCCGCCTGGAAAACCCTCCATCTGACCTTTGCCAGCTAACTCCCTGGGTCTCCCAGTTCATAGACAGTGCCTAGCACACAGCCACTGCCCAGGAAGCACTTGTGTGTGCCCTGAGCTTGACTGGCAGGGGTGCCTGGGAGGAGAGGTCATGCGGGTACAGACGGGAGGTGATTCCAACCTGGGCTAGTCTCCCATTGACCGTCAGGCTCATGGCCGATGTAACCTCACTTCCCTGAGCCTCCAATTCCTCCCCTCAAGTTGGTCCAAAGCCTTCACACACTTACGCAGGTGCAGGCTCTGGCTGGGGTCACATCAGGGACTGAGGCTGGGGCTATAGAGACCCCCGCTCCCTCCTGCCTGGGTGGAGGGAGGTCAGTGACCTCCAGATTCCAGGACTTAACCCTAAGATCCCAGAATGGAATCTGTAGGGCCTGTGGGATATGCTCAGCCTGGCCCGGTGACACCGGGCCAGCCTCAGTTTCCCCGCCAGGCCGAAGAGCAGATGGATTGTGCCACATCCTCAGATATTGCCCCAGCATAGGGCAGCACTGTGGGTGTCATGTGCAAGCACAGGGACTTCCGCAATCCTGTCTGCTGGGTCCTGACTCGCCAGACCTACCCCAGCCTACTCTCTAAGCTAGGGGTGTCGAACTCAATCAGAGAAGGGGCCAAAATCTAAAATCCAGCCTAAATCGCGGGCCGAATGGTTTACTGAACAGTCATAAACTGTCATTGTGATGGAAACACAGCAGAGTGCAGTAATGACAGCGCGGTGCGGGCCACATTGCAAGGCCTGGCGGGACGGATTTGGCCCGCAGGCCTTGTGTTTAACACATGTGCTCTAAGCCTTGCAGCCACCTGCTGTCCCTCCATCAACGTTTCTCAGCCATCTTCACTGCTTATATGGGCTGGTCTCCTACAGGCCCAGCACGTCACAGTTTATAAGGCTGTTCCCCACCCCCAATCAATTACATGCTGGTCTCTATATTTCACACAAATTTTCTCTTAAATCTTCTAAATACCCCCAAGAAGAGGGTCCTGGGATTTGGCCAGTTTTATAGATGGGGAAACGGAGGCACTGTGCTGTGATGGGACTATCTCCTTACAGGGGAGACTCTGGACCACGCTGCCTGGTTGACATTCTGCCAACAAGCCTGGCAGCAGTGGGCAGCGTGCCAAGCATGGTCCCCTTGGAAAAGGCCAAGCCAGCACGCACTGGGGGACTGGGAGAGGGACGGTGTGCACGGACAGGACATCTCCCCGGCCCTGGAACCATGCTCTGGGGGTGACAGGTGCAGAAACTGCCTTGTCAGGACATGCCAAGATAAGCCGTGCTGCTGGGAGGACACAGGCGACCTCTGCCAGAGCCCTTGGCATCCCAGGACCCCTGTGTCCTTGCCCGGTGCCCCCAGACTGCATATGCCCCGCTCCCTGTGTGCCCCAGGTGCTGGTACCAGCACTCAGAAGGGCAAGGGACATTCCTGCCATGGTCAGTGACCGCATGAGTCTTAGGACATGTTCCTCCCTCACCGCTACCACCCATCACATCAATCGGGCTGTGGCCACCTGTGGCCTGCCACTTCCCAATGTGTAAGGCCTGGCCGTCTGCAAGCCTGGCATTTCACGGTATATAAGGCTGACCTTGGTCCTGATCTGTGTGTGTGTGACTCACAAACACTGGGGTGTTACTCTCCTCCTGGGCTGTGGGACATTCCCCCGTCATCACCATCAGAGACCTGCCACCCTAAGGGCTTTTGGCTGCTAGGTGGGTCTGAGAGCTTGTCAGCAGAGCAGCCCCAGACTTGCCTGGGAGAACAGGAAACCCAGGCATTCCTCTCCCCATCCTTCCGGAAAGTGCAGATCCTTTCTGGGGGTTCTGGGGGAACAGGCAGGAGAGGTGGGAGGCCTGGCAGACAGGACCAGGAGGGGGTGGGGGCCCGCAGACGACCTTCGGAAATGCACCGGTGAAGATGCAATTTGGGGATGTGACTCAGCCACACAACACACAGGCCAAATCCAGACATTTGTCGGCCACGCTGCTCCCTGCCTGGCAGCTGAGTCCTAAGGTGCCCGGGGCCGAGTGAGAGTGGGGGCGTGGGCTGCCATGCGAGCAGAGGGTGGAGGCACCCCGTCATGTTGACATGCCCCTCGTGCTTACTGTGGGCTGAGCCCTTTATCAGAACGATCACATCTAATCTCCATCGCCACTCGGCAAGGCAGGAGGCATCCCTGACCCCTTTTACAGACAGGAGACAAGGCTCAGAGAGTGTCAGTACCTTGCCCAAGGTCACACAGCCAGGAAGGGCAGGAGCTAAGTCAGTGCCAACTGGGGGAGGGGGGTATGGGGGGGCGGTGGGTGGCAAGATCTGCCTGGCTCCCTCTTGATGAGCTGCCACCTGGAGAGCCAGCCCGGCCCTATCCTGAGGGCCCCAGAGCGCAGGGCAGAGGCATGATGGGTGCCCATGCCCTCCCGTGACCTCCGAGGAAACAGAACGACGAGGTGGTTTGCCTGAGATCCCACAGGAGGAGGAGCAGTGCTTCTCTGAAGGCTGAGCGGGACCAGAGGGACTGGGGACAAGAGGCTTCCCCTTCCCAGGTAACCCCCCCCCCACTGCAACCTGGACCTAAAGCTGGGGTCCCTAGACCCCTCAGGGATTCCCAAAGACCCAAGAGGCCCTCTGAAACCAGGGGCAAGGTTGGGACATCCATTAAAGAGTGTTTTGTGTTTTGTTTTTTTAGTGAAGTCTCTCAAGTTCTCCATGGAGCTCCCCTAAATGGCGAGTAACACCCTATGGGCTGCATTCGGTCTTGAGGGGTCCTGGAATGGCCCAAATTGTCAAATGTGCCTGGAGCTTGAGCCTTCCATGCGCTGAGGGCCAGGGTAGGAGGGTGAGCAGAGCTCCCTTCCACACCATCCGGAGACACTGTGGGGACCCGGTGAGCCACACGGGCCCGGGGGCGCCCAGGAAGGCTCTGGAGGGACTGAAGAAGGCGGGCAGGCAGCGGGAAGCAGGTGCTCTGCCACTCAAAAGGAAGACAAAGAAACCCAGCAGCCCCCAAAGGCACTCACAGGAACCTCCCACAAAGGACAGGCTGGGCGCAGGAGCTGCCCAGAGGGACCTCCAGCGTCCCGGCCAGGGTGAAGCCACCTCCTCAGCTGCCTCGTCAGGAAAGCCGCATCTTGGTGTCCGCCCATCAGGGTGGGTGGCCAGGTCTCATGTGGACCATCTTAGCACCTGCCACCGTGCTGCTGCTCAGCACCAAGCTTTGTCCTTCCCAGGCGGACCAGGTGGAGGGGCCCCCGACACCTCAGGTCCCACGGCAGAGCCCCCTGTGAGGCACAATGCCCACCACGCTGTCTCCAGAAACCACGGCCGGGAGCACATGGCGGAACCTTCTGGGATGTGTGGACAAGTTGAGGGTTGTGTGTCCCTGTGGAGGGTGGGGACGGGCCCCCTCTCCCATCCCAGCACTCGGGGGCCCTAACTCTGCAGGGTGGACAGGACTCGCTCGCCCTCCCTCCCCATGGACTGCCCAGCACCGGTGCAGTGAGGTGCTGGCGGGCTGCCGGGTCCCTCAGGCATTCCCCCATCACCTCCATCAGGGACCTGCCAGCAGCCAGCAGGGTGCAATTAGCCTCCCCTGCCCTCCCCAGGCTGCTCCACCAGCGCCCTCCACGCTGCTCCATCTCCACCAGCTCCTCTCGCTCAGCCCCAACCTCCAGCGCTCACATGTATGGGCCACCCACCCTCCAGGGGAGCGGGCAGTGCCTGTGGGGGTGCTCCAATCTCTGTCCAAGGAGAGCTGGGCTTGCCGACCCCCGCCGTGCTGCCCCTGACTGCTGTGCTGGATCCAGGAGCCAGCAGCGAGGTCTCCTGACTCCCACTCCCAAGTCAGTCCCGGGTCACTGCCTCCGCCCTGAGGACACCCCCACCGTATGGATGGAGTTTGGAGACTCACCCCCCAAAGAGAACCCAGCACCCGCCCCATCCGGGATGGGGGTCCGGGACTCGCCATTCAGCCTGGCCGTGCACAGACACACATGCCCTTCCCCGTGTCCCCAGCCCCGAACCGCGTCCCCCGCCCGGACGTGGCTCCCTCCCCCGGCGCCCCTGCCATCCTACCCCGTACCTGCGGGGCTCGGCTCGGGCGAGCGGTGGAGGCTGGAGGAGACAGCGTCCCGCGTGGACAAGGACCCGCAGGACGGGGCCGGGGCCGGGGCCGGGGCCGGGGTCTCGGCGGGGCCGGGCAGCGGCTGCGGGACGGTGGGCCCGGAGGCGGCGGGGCGGGGGGAGGCGGCGGCGACGGCGGCGGCGGCGGCGACAGCGGGAGCATCCCCCGCCGCCCGGTGCACCGGCGGGGCCGGGGGGCGGTGAGCGCCCGCCCGGGCCCGGAGAGGAGGGGGCGGTGCGACGCGGGCGGTGCAGCCCATTGGCTAAGCCCGATTGGACCCGCCCCCAGCGACCCCGCAAGCCCCGCCCGCATTTAAAGATCCCTGATTCCCGGTGCTCGGTTTCCCCCTCCCCCCGCCAGCGCTCGGCGGCGGCTCCTCAAACTCGCCCTCTTGCACGCGCGACAGACAGAGGGGACACTAGCCTAACCACTACACCAGTCGCTGACAGGCCTCAGGAACCCCTAGCCACCCCTTCCCAAAACCAGGTCCCCCAAACCCCAGCTGCCCCTCAACCTCTGTGCTCCCGGACAACTTTGCAAAGCGACTGGACACCTGTCCCCACCCCTGAGATGACCTTTTCACACAGCAGCTCCTGCATCTCTTCCCCAGGCCCACATCTGTTTTCTTCCTGGCCTCAGCTTTGTACCTGGTCAGGATCGGTTTTGTTTTCCGAGGCCCAGAAAATAGCGGGATGGAATGAATGAATGAGTAGATCCCGCAGCTTGGGCAGGGGGTGGTCCCATGGGTGGTAATGGCAATGAGGCTGAGCAGGGACAAGTGACAGCCTTTGGCTGGTGACTCCTGTCCCCTCCTCTCAGGAGCCTGTTCTTCATCCCAGCCTGATGGAGACACCCCCAGGAAGGCCTGATCGTGGTGACACTGCCCAGCGTGGTGACGGTTGAGAAGCAGAGGCCTGGGGAACACCCCTCCCCTGCCATGTCCACAGGGCACCAGGAATGGGGTCGTGGAGACTCGAAAGGGGTCATTCCCTGCGTGCAACATCCCTCCTGCATCCCCCCTTTTACCCACCACTCCCGCCCACGTCTCCCATCTCCCCTCTGCCGTGCCACCTCCAGGCCTTTGCCCTGGCTCTTCCCCAGCCTGGGCTCCCGGGGCACTTTCCAAGCTACTGATGAAGCCAACCACCTCTCCCGTGGGGTCTGGCACACATCCCTGCACCACATTCACTGTCCCGGCCCACATACGGGTCCCTGGCCCACAACAGGCATTCACATCATGCCCACAGGCTGACCTTGGCTACACGGGCTGCTGTAAGGGCCGCGCAGCAGCTGACACTTTCTGAATCCAAGTCCAACCTGTAAACACCCAGAAATTTACAAAAGCACCAGCCCCTCCACCCGCACCCCGACCAGTGGCCTCTCCAGGAAAGACCCTTTTTCTCCGTTGAGCTCACCTGTGCTGAGGGGTCAGGGACTCCCTTCAAGGGGCTGAACTGAGGATAGTCGGCGTGGGGAGTGATCACCTCCTGCCCACGTCTGCCTGCGGCCTGCCTGGACCTCCCCCCTCAAAGACAAGGCTGGTGGTGGGCAGGAGTGGGGAATGGATGGTGATAGGGCAATAGGTGGGGTCTCCATTCCAGACAGAGCCCTCAGCCCATGGCTGGCCAGGAGGGAGTGGAGTATGGCCCGGTGTCCCAGGACCCATTCCCCCGGGAAATGGCCTACAGACTGGGCAGGGGGGAGGCTGGCGGCGGAATAGGAAGCCTCTCCTCCAGGATGTAGGTACAGGAGAGCTGGGAGAACCTAGTAGGACCTGAGGGACCCAAAGGGAGCCACCTGAGCAGGGATGGCCTGGCCACCCCCCAAAGCTTCCAGCTGTGCATCCACAGGAATGTCAGCCCCATCCTAGGTCTAACTGACGGCTACTGGACAGAGGTGAGGCGGGATGCTGAGTCCCCTGTGAGTGGGGGGATGGAAGAATGGGAAAGGTATTCACTTATTCATTTACTCACATATCCACCAGCCCCTTCTCTGACTCTGGTGCTGGGGCCATCTAGTCTGAGATAGATAAAACCTGCCCATCTGGGAGCTGACGTTCTAGAAGAGGGGACCAATCCTCTCTAAATTAAGAACCAATAAGAAACCTAGATCAAAGTATTGGGAAAAGATCTGATGAAGTCAAGAAAACCAGGGACAGGGATGGGGAGACTTTACCCAGGGTGGCCAGGAGAAGCCTCTCCGGAGAAGGAGCACTCAGAGGGGGCCCAGGAGCTGCACTGGATGAGCTGGGAGAAGGGTGCCCCTGGCAGAGGCCACTTCAAGGGCATAGGCCCTGAGGTAGGACCAAGAAGGGCATTTGGGATTCCAGTGGGGTTAGAGGGAAGAGGCAAACAGGGTGGGTCAAGTCGGGGGGTGGGGGGAAGAGTAGGAGTCACACAGTGTGTGGGAGGACTCTGAGCAAAGCAAAAGTCATGGAGGGTTAAGCCCGCTAGGGTCCTGGAAATTGTTGGGGCAGGATGAGGAACAGGGCAGCATCCTGGAGGGCTTATTTCTAGGGTCTCCAAATTCAGGGGCTTGGAGAAGCTTCCCTTGTTCTATCAGCATATATTAAGCATCTTCTGTATGCAAGGCTTATATAATACCCTTAAATGGAGATACTGAGGTGAGAAAAGCACACAAAAAACAAACAAACTTAGGTTTCAGGTTAGTGGGCGAGATCAGATCTTGATAAATAAATACAGCCCTGGCCTGTGTATACCAGTGGTTAGAGCATGGGCCCTGCACACCAGAGGGTTGCAGGTTCAATTACTGGTCAAGGGCACGTACCTGGGTTGCAAGTTCGCTCCCCGCCCCAGGTCAGAGCATTGCGGAAGCAACCAGTCTATGAGTCTCTCTCACATCAATGTTTCTCCAGCCCTCCCTCCCTCTCTTCTTCTCTCCCTCCCTCTTTGAGAAGAAATGAAAAAAATATCCTCAAGTGAGTATTATAAATAATATATAAATACAGGGTGGGTGAGGCGGGTCAGTGGGGAGGAAAAGGGGATTATCTGTAATACTTTCAACAATACTGGTAAAGGTAAGTTCTAAAAAATAATAAATAAATACAACTGATTATTACAGAAGAACATGGAGGAAATGAGGCAAAGGAGGGGTGGGGAGGAGCTGCCCCTGGCACCCCCTGGTGCTCCCCATTGGCAGTCCACTGGGCCCTCAGACCCTGCCCTGGAGGAGGAGGTGAGACCCTGGGGGTGACAGGAAGGCAGGAAATCACCCCTGTCATCAGCACAGAGTCCCCTCCAAGTGGCTGAGGTCCAGGAGCCCCTGCCATGCCCATGGGGCCTGCCCTGTGCTGCCCTGTCCACTCAGGAAAAGAAAAAGCGAAGAGCTGCTCCCTGCGGGCTGTCTCCAGGGGCTGAGGCCGCAGACACCTGGTGGAGAAGATCTGGCAGGGAGTCAGGCTTTCCAACCTGGGGCAACGTCCCCCTCTGGCTGTGTGACACTGGGTAGGTCACCTACCCTCTCTTAGCAGGTTCTCCTTCACAAGTGATCAGAGAAAGTGGACAGTGATTCTCAGAGGGGCTCTAGAGAACATAGCTATCATCATCATCATCATCATCATTATTATTATTATTCTGTTACTATTATTTCAAAGGTTGGCACTTTTTCTTAAGTCATCAGTTTTTCTATCCAACCTCTGGGCCATGCCCACCCCCAAAGGGATCTACTCACCTGGGGTGTAGGGATCTTCCTGACGAGCCACCACCGAAGGGGCTGTCTTCTTCAGTCCTGCTGGGTTACCACCTGGCTGGTGGGGGGGCTGTGGCTCCCTTTCTTTCCTCCTTGACCTGTAAGGATCAGACATAGGGGCAGGGTGGAGGCAGGGCCCCAGAAGGACGGGCGCAAACACCTCCCAGACTGCAATGGTCTTTACAGCAGACAAGAGGTCTGGATCACATTGCAGGTTTTAAGGAAACTTAAGTTGGTGGCAGAGTCTGTCCAGCATAGCCGTTTCCTCCCTCAGGCCCCTCGGTGAGTCCCTCCATTATCCCTCCCCATATATCCACCTTCCTGGAGCCCCCACCTTCTTCCACTGGACACTGCACTCTTAAGGCTCTGACTTTCCCCGTATTGTTCCCTGTCCTCCCCCAGGTCCTTTCTCACGAGGAGGCTGGAGCGGGCTGGTATGAGGATGAAAGCATCAGGGATCGATGGCTCTCTCAGCTCTATTCCTGGCCACCCCCAAGTCCCGCCCTCCCCACTGCTGTCCTGAGGCCTATAGCTCCCTCATGGTGTTCCCTCTGTCCATACAGGATGGTCTTCAGAGTTCCCATGTGAACACAGAGTACCCATCCTGGAGGAGGAGGAGGAAGGAACACAGAGCAGCCCCATGGTGGGGAGCGGTGGGAGGCACAGCCAGAGCTCAGAGTGAGGCTGAAAGGAAAACAGCTGATGTGAATGTTCCAGCTGCCCTCTCTCTCTCGGCAGGGGTCTGGGGTGGGGCCATGGCCACCTACATGGCCCAGGGGCTGCTGCCTGTTCCAGGCTGGTGCAGCTTGGAGCTGACTCTGACCCTGGGGGGTCAGGGGGCCAAGATCATGCATTGGGCAGGTGCATCAGAATAAATGTTATTCAACCAGCTCATGATGCTCTGGCTCACCTCTGGAAGATTTCCATTGAGGTTGAGCAGCCTGAGGATGGGGTTGGAGATATTGGGGTGGGGCGGGGGGACAAGAAACCTGTGAGCCTGGAGGAGGGAGCCAAGCAGGGCAGTCCTGCCTGAGGCTCCAGCAGGGCGGAGGGACTGGGGGGAGAGAGGAGCCCTCCACCTCCCAGTTCTGGGGTCCCCGGACAAGCTCCTCACACCTGCAGGGAAAGGCAGGGAGCAGAAAACCCTGACACGGATGCCAGTCTGGGCTCTGGGGTTAGTGAGTCAGCCGCAAACCCAGCTCAGCCCCTGCCTGCCCATCTGGGTGACCTTGGGTAAGCACTGAGGGGCTGGGAAGGGGGAGAGGAGCGGGGAAGAGAGCGGAGCGGCAGCTCGAAGCACAAAAGGCTGGCAGGTGCGTGCGTGTGGGGGAGTTCCCATCCACTCTGCCAGAGGCGGGGAATCCCGCACACTGGGAGAGAGAGATGATGGGGGTGAGGGGCTGGAGGGGGCAATAAGGCCAGTCGTTCCCTCTCCCTCTACCCCCACTGAGCGCTGCCTGGGAGGTCCTCAGGTCCTCACCTTCCACCGGGTGGGGGAT